AAAAAAATCATAAAATTTAATTCTAATTCTTGTGTTTGTCTTACTCAATTTGGTTTCAGCCCCAAGGGCAATGGAGAAGTGCAAGAACAGATCCTGAACAAAACATGAGGACAATATGCATTAATCATGATGCGTTCTTGATATTTCTTTTGTATTGTGATGATCTTATGTGTTTTTTTTTTTCAATATTGGAAGGTATATAGGAAAATAGTATTCTTTACGAGAAAGATGTGACAAATTTGTATTTGACCAGAAGATCGAAAGTTTTAAATATCTCTGTGTTTTATTTCAGCTCTTATATATTAAAGTAGTCATTTCTTTTAAGTGTAATTGTGATTATATTGTTTTTTCTTTTTACTATTTGAAATGCTAATAGTAACATTTACGTTTAAGTCATTCATTTATAAGAAATATAAATGATATCTTTTCGGACTTGGTTTAAATTTTTTTTTTCCAAATAGTCTTACAAATCAACAAATCAATTTAAAAGTAATAATAATAATTTCATCCTCCCGTTCGCCGTAAAAACTTGAGGTTTATCCACTTTGATACCTTCCTTTGATCGCCTGGAGGAAGAAAATATATAAATTCTTTTTTGTACGTCATATATGCAAATAAAAATGGTGCTTTATATTAGGATGTCCCGAGTAACTCAAATGATTTCATCTGCATTATAAATATATATTTCCGTCTGCACTTGATATGAAAGGGTATCATTTGACTTCTTTTTTTTTTGGCTCTCTAATTATGTGGGAAGAATTTATTAATTCAGGACCCATGAGAGACGTAGGAACAAGAGCATGTGCATGTTCATATGGGTCTTTCAATTCTTACCCGTTATGTTAATGTACCCATTTTCCCCGATCATGAGAAGAAAAAAGAAACTCTTGTTTTTGTGTGTGTTATATTAATAAAATATTATATCATTTATCATACGCCCGATTACGGTTCATGGTAGTAAAAGTGTCTCTCTTTTTTTTTTGCTAGAAATGTAAACACCATTTGAAATGAACAATTTAATTACAAATTGTTAACTAAACAATTTGCAAAGTCTTAGATTTTGGTTTCATGGTAGAAAAAATAATAATATGGAATCCTTCAACAATCGGTATTTGCTCATGACGGAGAGTTAGGAAACAACCCTCGTCGAGTTAATTTACCACATATATATAGATTTATACTATTACTTTCCTGATCTCTATAGGTTTGTTGTCCACTTTGATGAATTTAATATTCTGATTTAACACAGCAAATTGACCCCAAAAATAAATAAAACCATGGTCGTGTGATATATAAACGGACATTGACATGAACAAGACTAGCAATGTGATTGTGTGAAAGTTTATGGGCCCTAATAATAACACACCAATAATGTATGTAAAAATAGTTTACGTATCTTGTTCTCAGATCACTTTTAGGCCTAATAAGCCCAAAACCAAATCCCATCGTTGAACATCTGCACCTAACTTAAATTTGATCATATCAGATTATTGATCAATATTTGATCATATCGCGTCTAAATTTGCACCTAACCTAAATTTGATCATAGTTGATTTAGGTTTCTTCGTTGTAGAAGAGGGTCGAAGTTTTTGGCTAACCTTTCTTTTGTCGTAGTTCAGCATGACTTGTGTCCTTTAGCTGTCGAAAGTGGTGGAGATCCACATTGTCTAGGTTATAAATTACATCATCGGTTATCATCTTGTTTGTAGAAAATTTGTGATTTATGATAATTTTTCATAGTTGTCGCCTAAAAAGAAAAATGATTTTCGTTACATCAGGTATTAATGGAAAGATATGCGCGGTATTATGTCAAATTGGTGAGTTGAATCCATATACGCCTAGTCCTAACCCAAACAATCAAAGTTAGGTTAAAATAATGGAGCTAAAAAACTAACCTAATCTAAACTAAGCATGGTGCAAAGATATTTGCTCAACCTTTAAAGATGATATTTAGCCCAAACAATATTAAATTTTATAAGCATAATATTATATAAATAAAAAAATTACAAGAATGAAAAGAAAAGTTAAATGCTCACACAAAGCAAAATCATATATTAAAGAAAATAAACTGGAATGTATGCATAAATTCTCATC